GAGAGAGAGAGAGAGAGAGAGAGAGAGAGATTTGGTTAATATTTATTTATTTTTAATAAATGCATTTTTGGGGGAAAACCTGATGCAGCCTAGCCACACCCAGACCCAGACCCGGTCCACAGGTAAATTGAGTTTGAGACCTCTGGTATAAGTGATTGTGAGACTTTTTTTTTTTTTCCAATCCAATCAAATCAGATTTCAGCCTCTAACTCGCCTGCGGCTTTTAGAACCAGTTTTGCTGCTTAATGTAACTTAAACTATATTTTGCAATCAGGAACTGGCCCAAGATGATGTCAACATATTTCCCTCGTTTGATTCGTTGGTCAGAGTTGGTAAAGTCAAATTCGACTCGGAAAACACATCTGTGGCAATCAACACAACGTAATCAATAATACAAATCTGTGGAGAACATGATTTATTTTCCTAGATTTTGTTTCTTGATGTTTTTGCCTTCTCATTCGATAAATCTTGCATTTTTGGACAGTATGTTGACTTCTACAATTGCGACACGTTAGTGATGCCAATAAGATGTGACCACTCAAGTCCCAGGTACCAAATGCGTGGCCTACCATTCATTGCAGTTTGCTTTTATCTGTCTTACAAATGAAATGCTCAAGAATAAACATTTGTCACTACACTTTGAAGTAAACTGGATTGTGAATATCAATTGGTTCTGTCACCAGTGAATTGTCATGTACCCACCTGAACTGGATACTGTCTCCAGCATTCCCTGAGGTCCCAGAACCAGGGGGTCTAGAGGGACAAGAAAAAGTAGCAATTGAGGAATTATTTTTGCTTCAGAATACACTTTGTAAAACTCGAAAAACTTACATCAATCAAACAGGCCAGCCCACCCACAAAGGCTGTGAGGTAGACAAAGAACCTCCAACTGTGACAATAAAAAAAGCAGATATTTCAGGAGCGCAAAAGGTGATGTCATGTCAGCATGCAGACATAAAGGAAGGATTTAGGAAGGTTTTTTTGGGGTATTTTTTTTTTTTTTTTTTTTTAAAGTTGGTCATCGATTTGTAAATGTCGGTGCTGAATTTTGCTGACGAGCCGCACGGATGAAGCACCGATCAGCGCCATCCCCGCCGCCACCGCAGCCGGAGTGCAGACGTCTGGCAGCTCGGCAGGGCCTGGTCGGTGACGTTCCACATCCCTTGGGCCGTTCCCGCCGGCCGCCCCCAGCCGAAAGCCACCGAAAACAAACAGAAAGCGACCACATTGCAGACACACTTCGCAGAAGATCAGAAGTGAAAAAAAAATGCCCATTCTTCGGCTCAGTGCAACAGGCGTCTTAAAGTACTATCATGCACAGGAGGTTGAAAATGAAATATGACAAAACACTTCTGAATTCACAGAATCGATTGCATCTGATGCGTCTTCCTTGTGCTGACTACCGTAACTTGGGCTCCGACCCCCCAGCCTGGTACCACCCGGTGAGAATCGGAGAAGCAGTAAAAGACCTCTTATGGCAACAAGTTCAACCGGAACTAAAACAGTGGGTCATTCCAAATGTAGCTAATATTTAGCTTAGCATACATACATACACACTAACGGCATGTTTTTGGAGAGTGCTTTGATTAGGTAAATGTTCCTTGTGGCCCCCCTCAGATACTACACATCTTTGGTGTCGTAGTTTTTTTTTTTTTTTTGCCTATAGAAAAACAACACTAGTTAAGACCACAAATGGGAGATTACTACTGTAGCATCTTCTAAGTACCTGCTGCATGACCGTATTTTCTTGAGGTTATCAAAAATAAACCCCCCCTGTGATAATTTCAGGTGCTTTGCTTTAATATGAATAATACTGCGTAAAAACAGCCCTTTGAGACATTCATAGCAAAGTTCATAAAGAGTAAAAAGCTTATGAAGGTAAAAAAACAGACGCTCAAATGACACCCCCCTCCCCCCAAATAACTTGTTAGCTCCCTCATTTAAACCAAGCAATCTTTTTTTTCTTAAGATTTGGAATCTAGAGACCAAATAGAATTGCAGAACTGGAATCCGAACCGGAATCGTCAAATTCAAACGATGCCCAACCCTAATATTTGGGGACAAGATGACACAGTGGTGCCTCGACTCACAGGTGACCAGACCAACAAACTTTTCGAGATACTAGTTGATGCTCGGCCTATTTTTATTTATTTTTTCTTGAGATGGTGATGGTGGTACTCATTTTCACAACAATTCCTCAAAAAAGAGACCAAGTGCTTGCTTCTAGTTGTTGCCACTTCCAGTTGAAGTTTATTGCCAAACTGATCATAAAACAAACACATTTATCATTGTGTATCGAAAAACCAAAAAATGCATGGCAGGCTTATGGAACATTCTAAATCAGGGGTGCCCATTACGTCGATCGTGATTGACCAGTAGATCAGTGACTGGTCCCAAATCGATCCGAGGGGTGTAGAGGAAAAAAAAATGTGCCTCTGTGCATGTCAGTAATATATTTTTTGTGTTAATGCACACTGCACCCTAATCATTCTATCAGTCTCACTTTCACAAAAAGTATTTAAAAAAGAAACTAAAATAAAGTGGGTCATCTTTAACCTACGGTGGCGTGTGACTGTGGCACCGGAAGTTGTTAGCGCTCAGCAGTCTGCAGTTGCAGCTTCTGAGTTGTTGCGCCAATCTTTTGTCGTTATCATTATTCTCATTCAGAGTTTGTTTTGTACAATTCACCGAGAGCACGGGCAAAAAATGGGAATCTGGAGGGCCGAGAGAAGCATTTTAAAACGGTACGCGTGAGCTGCGATTGCTGCCTCAGCGTCAGGCTGTTGCTCATCATGGCGTGCGAGTGTACGTGCGTGCGTGCGTACGTATGCGCACGTGCGCAGTAACGGGTCAATCCCGGGAGGTTGGTTGATTGAAAAGTAGATCTTTGGTCAAAAAAGTTTGGGCACCCCTGCTCTAAATTGTCCCTAGATGTGATTGTGAGCGCAAATGGCTGTTTGTCTATGTGTGCCCGGCGATTGGCTGGCGACCAGTTCAAAGTGTACCCCACCTATTGCTCGAATAGGGATAAGTTGCAGCACGCGACCCTCGTGAGGAGAAGCAGATTAGAAAATGGTTGGGTGAATGGAGTTATGAGCTTCGTGACAGAAATAAATTAAACTTGCAAGTCAAGGCCTCACTGAACTGGAGTTGAAAAGAAGGAGAAGGACTTACGCCGCTTCTCCAAACTTCTTGGTTTGACACGGCTTGTCCTGGTGGCGGCGCAGTCGGAACCAGGTCTCGATTTGCCGCTGGCTTTTGCCACACAGCGACATTAAATGAATGATGTCACTCTGGAAATACCACAAAGGGGAAGATCGGCATATTATTTTCCACAACAGTGCCTCACAGGAATTTACTCTGCCATGCCTGGGCGAGAAGAGAAGCTGGTAGGAGACTGGAGCGAGTACTGCCGGCCTCTGAGCCAATCAGACTCTGTCTCTCAACACGCACCAGGTTCCACAACAAGGTGGAAATTGCACTAACGTGGTAATCTGGAGTACTAACAGGAGAGGGCATGGTTATCTTGCCGCCACTGTTGAGTTAAGCACTCCGGAGCGGATCAAAAGCACGACCGCCATCTCAAAGTTTTTGCGTGGTGTGTGTGTGTGTGTGTGTGTGTGTGTGTGTGTGTGTGTGTGTGTGTGTGTGTGTGTGTGTGTGTGTGTGCAAATGCTTTTGCATACTGGTCATGTTTTCTCCCGAAGATGAAATATTACCGTAATGTAATTTGCAAGGATTGCGACTTCCTCTGTTGTTAGCCATTCTTGTAAAATGTAAACAAACTTTCAAATGTTTGTCGCCATGTTTCTTGCTAGTCGCGCTTATAAATAACGTTGCAAGGCAACATGCCTGCTGGCATCATTCGTCCTGACCGGGGCAAACGATATAGAGGAATTGAAACTCTGGCAAACCAGTTCTCAACAAGAACTGGTTTTCGATTCCCATTCCTATTCTAAACCAACTCGCAGCGTGGGTATAGCTTTGGAATTGGAGCAGATTGGAGAACTTTCATCCAAGGTTGGGTTGATTATTTTGACCCAGCAGATCAGGCTGAAGATTGGATTTCAATCGTAAAACATTTGAGCCAACTAGTGGATGCTACTGTTGGTCAGAATGGTAGCACTGTATGTATTTTTTGAGGTGGTACTTTGTGTCAAAAGTATACCAATCACTTATGATACTGAGCTTTTCCAGGGTGTGTTCTCAGGTTTCCAAAAAGTACAAAAGGGAGAGAATAACCTGCGTGGGCCGTGTGCTTTGTTGTGTGTAAAAGGACTCCAGGTTTGGGGAAGGGGACACGCTCACTCGCAACCTATTCCTCACCCCCAAACGTCTGCCAATAGCCGGGGCACAGAACCTGAGAGCAAACAAAACAAAAGATCAGTCACACTTGATGTGATGAGCCAACATGGGAGTGTGGGAGAGGGTCACAGCGCCAACCTGTTGTTTTGGGGGAAACGGACGCTGACAGCTTACAAACATTGACATGCTCAGAGAGCTTTTAGTTGAACAAAACATACATATTAGTGTGGCTGCAGTTTGCACTGCATTTCCACTCGACCGATTGATTGATTCAACGAGTCCAGGTGTTGGCAACCAGGTTTCCTTTACAGCTTCTAAGTTTGATTTGACTTGCCTTCTATCGGTCATGGTTTTGTTTTATTTTGTCTCCAGCAGGTGAGAGGGGAGGGCTCATACTCCCATTCCACACCTGTATCTCATCAAGTCATTATCGGTCACCTGTTTTAAGAGACTGTCAAGACATCAGCAGTTGTTGGAATATTTGCCTTGCTCTTGTCTCAGTCCTGTATTCTAGACTCTTGACGCACTCGATTTTTGTCCTTAGGCGTAGAAAAAAAAGTAGTGTGTTTCCGGTAACCCAACCGACCAAGAATTTCTACCTCGAAAAAAAACTTTACAGTCGGCGTTTTTTTCAAACAACCTTCAAATTTAACACACGTCATCATTAGTTCTACCAACAGTTAACATTAGCATTACTACCCCTTGTGACGAATGTTTTATTCATAAAGGTACCATGCTACAAACAGTAGATTATAGAATAACCAATACTGTTTCATAATATTTTTCATAGCGATTAGCCTACAAATTTAATGACCAACTTGCCTCGTAATCGTGCCTCTCGTCGTATCTCGCTCTCGTGTTCTGTGCATACGTCCCAGGTGAGTTTAGTGATACGTCCTTTGGACGATTCATACGAAAAATCAAGACTGGCATTCCCATTTCTTAAATGTCGTAATTAGTAGACCTTTGTGAGTTTTTTTCGCCGCCATCTCAGAATTTCATCTGCGCGATTCCTCAGTTTGCGGACTAAAATAGCAACCCGCATGAGCACATAATGTCATCTGTTGCGTCCCCCCCAACACTGAAAATAAAACAAAACGAAAGTAAATTAGAAGAAAAACACTCACACACCACACCACAAACACACATAGAGGCACAGTGAAATCGCGTTGATCACACAGTCAAGTCGTGTGAGGTGACTTTAATAGTTAAACTATTTTTCGGTACCATTAAAATGATGCCACGGAAACGACACGCTACCGGTAACTATTGTTACCGTGAAATCCTCAGGCTTGCCGTAGTTTTTTTTGTTTGTTCGTTTGTTTTGACTGGGAAATTTCCTTGCATCCCAAAAACGCACATTATTTGGAACTGTGCGTCCAGTGGGAAAATTATGCGTCTCGGACGCGGGACGCAAAGGTAACGAGATGGCTATAACACCCAGCCGCCGGCCACCCAACTCTCACGCCGAGCGGGGGTTTCAATGTCTCCTTGTTTTCTGGTTATTTTGTTTACATTTTTGATGGGGGGGGGGGGGTTAAAAAAAAAAAAACTTTGTCCGACCTACCGACCCTATGCTGAAATTTCATGTTACCAGAAACACACTACTTTTTTTCTATGCCTTATATCTGTCGTAGTTCTGGTTTGTTGGTCTTGTTAGTCTTCAGTAGTGATGGGACGATGATACCTCAAGGAGTGTATTGACACACTTCACAAACTGTGTCAACACTTTATTGACACTGTGTTGGTCACCCAATAGTGATCCCTGCAGTAGTTGTAAAATCATTGCAGGTAAAGAAATTCCTTGTTTGTGTAAATGCTAAACTGAGTTGGTATGTAAAATATAGCAAATTTGAGTCACAATTTTTAACTTATTTTGAAAATTTTTGTTAAATGATGTGAAAGACAAAAAAGTGATTAGTTTATGAATTTTTATTGATGAACAGAAGTTTTTGGAGTGTCTTTGCTCCAAGGCGATTTCTCCTCTTAGACACCAGCACCCTAGCCTCAGAAAATACTCTTTCACATGGTCCAGATGACGATGGTGAGCAGAAAGTTTTAAATGAAAGTTGATGTGGATATGTTTTCTGGTTCCATTTCCAATATTGTAAAGGGTCTTGGTTTCTGGGTGTGTTTGCTTCTGAGAGGCAGCGTTGGACTTCAATTATAGAGGATCTCGCAATTATAAGATAAAATGGATAAAGCAACTGTAAGGCTTTTTAACTGACTATCATATGTATTACAGGTCATTCACTTGATAAACTGATAAAGTGGGTGCAATGTACCAACGTAAAAAAATTGTATATAACAGTAAACAATGTTCAAAGGAGAAACAGATTTACCAAGATCAAAATTATTCCACACTGGGGAAAACTAATAACGATCCATAATTTCGCAAAACTCCAGCCAACAAACATCAGCTTCACGACATGTTGATACAGTTTGTTTCCTTATAAACACACTTTAGAGCGGCACAGTCAAACGATTCAGTTCCTGTATTGGTCACGTGATTCTTTCTTAAAGCAATACACGCACCGATACGGGGTTTCACTCTTGAGCTCTTAGCACTGTGCTGACGCACCAGTGTCACTCGTCCCATCACTAGTCTTCAGTTAGTTTTGGTATTTGAATTGTTACCCTCGGTGCGTTTGTTTTACTTCTTCGCCTTGTCATTTTAGGTCAGGTGATTTTGCATTATTATTTCTATTTCCTTTTGCAATCTCTTTTTGTTAGTTGTGTTATTATACCCTGGGTTGCTCCTGACGACTTATGTTGTACTTTGACGGTCTCACGACCAGTTTTTGTTATAATAAATTATTTTTTTGTACTCGATCCACTCCTGGTCTGCATTTTTGGGATCCGCCCAGTCCCAACTTTGTTCGGAACCTTAACACTATCAAGTCTGTCAGTCCGATCCGCAGCCACAGGTAGAAGCAGCTTCTCAGCTGTAAGTGTTAAGTGAATTCTGTTGGTTTGTCCTTGTGCCTATGCAATCACAATAAAATTGCCTTTCACTCAAGACACTGGACTATGCCTTACCACTTCAGTTCACAAAGCCATGATTACTATTTAGAAGTCAGACTTCCTGTTGGGCCACCTTTTTGGGGCTTTTGGCGTGGATTGCCATCACCAACCTTTCTTTTTCAATACTTGTGATTTTAGCTGCTCGGTTTCTTTCATTCAGTCTTCTATGTATACTTCTATGTTCAGGTAAATAAAAGTCCGACATTTTATTGTCACTTAGTGGCAGGGAGCTCAATTGTAACTGAGCATTTTGCGCTTCCCTGCAGCTCTTGCGGCCCAGAGCCGCACAATTCAAATTATTTTGTGGCCCACGAGCTGGCAGTCTAGCAAACCACATGATTGAATCTTTTCTCATATGATGTCGAAGCTGGACGTCATTCTGGAAAACATTAATATAGCAACTCCACTTGGATGGTACAAAGCCTCTCTTGTTCTGGTCTTGTAAGATTCTCTCCCCGGTGATAACAAAGCTGTAGCAACTCCACTTAGATGGCACAAAGCCTCTCTTGTTCTGGTCTTGTAAGATTCTCTCCCCGGTGATAACAAAGCTGGTTCTGAACAACACACCTGCTCCTCGCCCTGCAGCTCATCCACCTCACCTATTCAGTACGCGCGCTGCATGCTCGATCCCAATCAGGAAATGGTGTGTGAGGTTCGTAGACAAATATTTGTTGTATGATAACCTCATGCTAGCGGAATGTCAGCAATGGTTTCCCTTCTGGTTAGGAATCGCGTGACAGTTGTTTACAGTTATTGCCAAAGCAACTCAGTTTTAGTGAGCAACCCCATTATGCTGACAACACAGTCAACATGAGGCCAATGTGCCCAAGAGAATGACAACCATCTTAGTATACTAGTACGCTCTTTGCCTTCACTATGAAAGAAAATCTGGCACACTTGTAGAACAACTAGGGTGGACTAATAGAACGATTGTTTCTTACTCGCAATGTTTTTTTTTTTTAAACAATTATCTGACATTTCTGCTCTCTATCAGGACAACTACATGTCACTATTGAGGCCAAACCACCACTACAGTGGTCCAGGAGCTTACTAGTGCACGACACATGTCAACTAGTTGGGCCTAGTAGTGCTACTAGAGCTGTAGAGATGTATTAATGAGGACAAAAAAAAAAACATACGAGAATGGACCCTAGTAGGGGAACAACAGTTTTCCATTACTAGTTCTGCTTTTGGCCGATTAGAACAACCTTCCGATGGATATGAACGTTATTGAATAAAAGTTCAAACGGATTTGATATAGGGCGGCACGGTGCACGACTGGTTAGCACATCCGCCTCAGAGTGCAGAGGTGCAGGGTTCGATTCTGGGCTCCGGCCTTCCTGTTTGGACTTTGCATGTTCTCCCCATGCTTGGGTGGGTTTTCTCCGGTTACTCCAGTTTCCTCCCACATTCCAAAAACATGCATGGCAGGTTAATGGAAGACGTTAAATTCTCCCAGGGTGTGACTGTGAGCGTGAATGGTTGTTCGTCTATCTGTGCCCTGTGATTGGCTGGCAAGCAGTTGAGGGAGGACCCCGCCTGTTGCCCATAGACAGCTGGGATAGGCTCCAGCATGCCTGTAACCCTCCTGAAGATAAGCGGATCAGAAAATGGATGAATGGATGGATTAAATTCAATATACTTGATATCCAGACTTAATGTCCATGTGCTAGTACTCTCTTTGCCATCATTATTAAGACAGTTCAGTGCACTAGTAGAACAACTAGTTTGCTTACTAGGAATGTTTTTTTTCCATTACTATAGGACATTTCTGAACAGTAGTAGGACAAATACAGATTACCAGTGAGCCAAAATTATGCACCAGTTGACATCTGCAAACTACAAGTCTTACGAGCGAAAGCCTTGATGTTAATAATTTGTAGAATTTCAGAATGTTACAAGTAGCATGCACTTGTCAAGTAGTGCTCAGTTTTGCCTCACTTGTAGCAGGAGATTGTCCTAGTAGAGGGCCAATGTCATCCTACTAATGAGAATAAATAGCATACTAGTATTGGAACCAAATGTGGGTATTAAGAATATTCAATAAATGCTCAATCTGTTTTCCATAGAGTAGTTTCACAATTGATTCAAAATCCTTTGATAACCACCAGATAGCCACACTTGGGAGGTCAAAAGTCGCATACTAGTAGGACAACGACGCAGAAAAAAAAGGTTGGAGGAATCAAAATTTCAAGGCAACAAACTTCGATAACATTTTAAGTTGGCTTATTCAACTTACTGTGTTTCACAAAGAAGAAATAATAATTCAGAGAACTGCTGTCCCTTGTATTGAACCCCAACATAAAAACAACTGTTTTGGAGCAAACAAATTACTTGCTTTGTTGTGCTAATGACATTGTTGCCATAAATATCAATCATTTACAGTTTAGGTTATGAACGTTTTTCCAACTGAAACTACCGCTTTTGGCCTCCAAAATATAAGTTGTTATTTTTTTACAGTGTGCTAGTGCATGTTACTAAGTTTAGTGATCTGTTCTAAATACATGATCAAAGTCTACTTAACATTAAGTGCATCACTACTAGCACTAGTAGCTCATATGTCAACTACTGCATAGTTTTGCCTCACCAGTAGGATGGCGTTGTCTTGCTAGTGTACAGAAATGTCACAGAGTAGTGGAAGGCAGCGCTAGAAAAAAACGTGACTGGAAAGCCACAGTCAGAATGATTTTTCTTACCCGTGAGGACAAAAGAGTGTAACTAGTCCACGGACCTTAAGGTGGATATCGCTAGGGAATAAATGCGGAAAGAGATTTCCACAGTACCTTTCAAACATGTAACGCAGGACCACGAAGCCCAAAGCAAGGGGCAATGCGACGAAAAGGTCTCGGGGGAGCGGGCGCTCCGAGGGGGCCAGCCGCTCCATGTCGTCCCAGGTCATATTTGGTGGAAGCCAGTAGCGCTCTCCCCACACATTTGGTAGCAGATCCATTTTGCTGGCGACAAGAGATTTTATTGCCGTTAGACTTACTTCCATTCACTGGGGAATGGCCTGTTGACTGCACATTGTCTGTTTTTGTCCATCTCTGTCACTAATGTGTATTGTATGGTGACGGGCAGAAGGGATAAATGCACTGCTCACCTTCCGTTTGCCATTCATAAAACAGTATATTAGCTTTCGGTTCATATTCCATACTATGTACATTTGGAAAAAACTGAGAAGAAATTGGGGAACCTTTTGTGACATTTTGGTTTGCTGAAGTGCTGTGAGGTTTTTTTTTTTATTTTACATTCATTTGTTCATGAACAAAATATGTGTTGTCACCAATAGAACTTAAAACCTGTACTTGTTAAAATACCAGACCTATCAAACATAATACATATTTATGTAAAAAATACACACAATTGGATTATTATTACATATTATTCATGATCGTTTTGAGTATTTATCAATTGAATATTTTGTAAATGTAATGGCCATAAACACAAGGTAAAAACGCATTAGCTCATATTATACGAATGTTACTTACTGTACACTATGCATTTTTTTTTATCTTACACATACATTTATAGTTTGATATTTTATGGCCAACTGGGGGTTTTTTGGGTTGTCGTTTTTATTCGTTTCTGTATTGAATAAATTACATAAAAAATAAAGAGTCGCGTCGAAAATATATATTTACTCATGAAAACTCCAATTCAACTCATGCACAAAGTAAAATTCTCTACAAACATAAAAACACGACGTTAAAAAGCACAGGTCACCTAGTAGTAAAGAACATCTTCTGGATTTAGAACAAATAACCAACTGCAGCAACAAATAAAAGCACTTCCACGGTCAAACGTTGAAGTCACTTTTAACTTACCGTGAAATGTGCCCAATGCGCCAAGCAGTGAGTTGCCTGAATGCGACGTGATGGACTTGTGACGGCACAAGAACAAAATGCACGTGAAGAGTCAATTCCTCAATCTGCTTGTTTAGTGTCTGATAATTGTGTCTCGACTGGAAAAACCTCTCTCACACACACGCACACACACAAACACACGCATACGCGCGCGAACACGCGCGCAAACGCACACAATTTCACACACGCACAAACAAACAAAGCGACACGAACTGGACGCGAGAGAGCAGAAAGTGACAAATGTAATCTTCAAATTAAAACCTCTAGCTCCTCCATTTCCTGGTAAATAGTTTGCCATGTACTGTACTGTACTGTAGTAATAGAATTTCTCCCAAAAACTGTGATTGATATGGTTTATCGTATTGGACTGCTATTATTTTGAACACAACTGTATGTGAGAAGTGAATGCCCAAGCCTAGCTCGTATGTACGGTTGGATTGTTGTGAGTCAGGAAGTAACTCTAAAGAAAACAAAAGCAGAAGCGTTCAACTGGAAAATATTACATTTCCTTCACTGTGGCCAACTATCGCGAGCTGTCAGCTTCTCTTTATCTTATCCACTGTGATCAATGAGTGAGACCACAAAATCAACCGGTTTGATAGATGCTCCTCACACCGCTCTTTATCGTTCCCTCAGTTGATTGTGTAGTTGCCAGGAGACAGACTGAGTGGAGGATCACATTACTGCTGTCATGCAAATTAGCTCCTATTTATCAAACACATCGGCCAGGTAATCTGCTGCGTATTTGTAAAGGGCCCAGTTGTGTATGTTTGCTTATGGGCATACACAAACAGAGTGTGCCCAAAGTAATTTGCATTCATCTTTTGCGTATGAAGGCAGTTATTTTCAAGCACCTGAAAGGCTTGTGTGTGTGTGTGTGTGTGTGTGTGTGTGTGTGTGTGTGTGTGTGGGCGCGTGTGGGGGTGTGTGGTGTGTGGTTGTGTGTTTGTGTGGGTGTGTGTGTGTGTGTGTGTTTCAGCAAAAACTGCAAAAGGGGTAGAGGTGCGCAAATGTTCATTAAAATGGCATACAAACTCATTATTTTGCGAAATGGCAAAAACGATGTTAAAATGTTGGGAATGAATACAGGGGGCCCTCTCTGTTGGCGGTGAACAGGGCCCATACCAGCCCAGGAACAGCAAAAATCCGTGTATAATTGACGCCCATCGAGACATACAATATTGGAAAACATTTTTTAAACCCTGCAAAAATCTTTAAAAAAAACCGCTGTTCAAGCATCTCAAATCTGATCTGTGCATTTGCCACACTAATGGGGGTGGGGGGGGGGGGTATTTTACTCTTCAGAACATCTATAGACGCCAAATCAACTGTAGAGCAGTGCCTCTCAAACTGGGATTTCTTCGGAATCATTTCCCATCAATGATGAAGTGGTATTATTTTAAAAGTGCGTACTACGTACTGTATGCCCTATCTCAAGTCAACATTGTGATGTTATGAGTAAAATAACATAAGAACAACATTACCCAGCATGCCACAGTAGTTGAGAGTACGCGCAGTGTTCCGGTTGGGAGGGGGTTATTAAGACGAGCGGAAAACGAATGTAAGAGTACAAGATGGAAGTAAAAGGTGAATGAGTACTTTCCAACCCGCCTCGTCTCCTTCATTACATGATAAGAGAGACAACACATGGTGTCAGAAGTGGCCGTGAGCAGCCTCGGAGTGAAAAGGTTTGCCACGAAAGAGCTACGAAAGCACGAGCGAGAGAGGATTTGGAGTCCCCGGCCGTGTGAGTGAACGCGTGATTGGCGAAGCTACATGCGTTAGCTACTTCATGCGTTGGCTATGAACTGCGTAGTGAAACGAAAGACGCGGGACAGATTAAACAAGTAAAAGAGAATTTTGTCCCCGACGTGGAGGACAGCCAACAACAGAAAGCTGACTTTTGCCCCGTTGTGCTGTCATGGATAAGTTAAGTCCACCTACTTCCATGCAACTGACAGGTAATCTTTCTGATAACTGGAAGCGTTTTAAACAAAGATTTACTATATATTTAACAGCAAGTGGAGCGGGAGGCGATAATGAAAAACTGAAGGCTCACATTCTTTTGTATGTCATTGGAGAAGATGCTTTGGACATCTACAACAGTTTTCGTTTGGATGAAGCTAATTTGACTTTGGCAGAACTGATGAAGAAGTTTGAAGAGTACTTTGTGCCGAAACAAAATGTGACCTTTGAAAGGTACAAGTTTTTCACGCATGACCAGCAGCAAGGAGTACCTTTTGATCAGTACTTGGCAGAGCTACACATGCTGAGCAAAACATGTGAATTTGACACTCTGAGAGATTCGTTAGTGCGAGACAGGATTGTTTGTGGAACAGCGGATAATGCACTGAGAGAAAGACTGCTTAAAGAAACTGAACTTACATTGGATGAGTGTGTCAGTATGTGCAGAGCAGCAGAGACCACTAAAGCACAAGCTA